CTGGGGTTGTATCCTGTTGTAAACCTACCTCCATACCTTAAATGTGTAAAGTATCTTTAGTAATTAAATTTAGAAAAGAGTGGAACCTTCTTCCCTTCCCTGGCAGTCACACCTTAAAGTGAAGATGAGGGAGGAGCCATGCACTCACCTGAGCTTACTCTTCTGTTGGGGTCAAGGCCCCTGATCTGCCCAGATTGCCATATAGTCCTGTGCTGGTGGGCATGGTCCTGTGAGGGTGGACAGGGTCCTGTGGTGTGAGGTGAGGGTGGACAGGGTCCTGTGGTGTGAGGTGGACACGGTCCTGTGGTGTGAGGTGGACTGGGTCGTGTGGTGTGAGGTGGACACGGTCCTGTGGTGTGAGGTGGACTGGGTCGTGTGGTGTGAGGTGGACACGGTCCTGTGGTGTGAGGTGGACTGGGTCGTGTGGTGTGAGGTGGACACGGTCCTGTGGTGTGAGGTGGACTGGGTCGTGTGGTGTGAGGTGGACACGGTCCTGTGGTGTGAGGTGGACTGGGTCGTGTGGTGTGAGGTGGACACGGTCCTGTGGTGTGAGGTGGACTGGGTCGTGTGGTGTGAGGTGGACACGGTCCTGTGGTGTGAGGTGGACTGGGTCGTGTGGTGTGAGGTGGACACGGTCCTGTGGTGTGAGGTGGACTGGGTCGTGTGGTGTGAGGTGGACACGGTCCTGTGGTGTGAGGTGGACTGGGTCGTGTGGTGTGAGGTGGACACGGTCCTGTGGTGTGAGGTGGACTGGGTCGTGTGGTGTGAGGTGGACACGGTCCTGTGGTGTGAGGTGGACTGGGTCGTGTGGTGTGAGGTGGACACGGTCCTGTGGTGTGAGGTGGACTGGGTCGTGTGGTGTGAGGTGGACACGGTCCTGTGGTGTGAGGTGGACTGGGTCGTGTGGTGTGAGGTGGACACGGTCCTGTGGTGTGAGGTGGACAGGGTCCTGTGGTGTGAGGTGGACACGGTCCTGTGGTGTGAGGTGGACAGGGTCCTGTGGTGTGAGATGAGGGTGGACAGGGTCCTGTGGTGTGAGGTGGACAGGGTCCTGTGGTGTGAGGGTAGACAGGGTCCTGTGGTGTGAGATGATGGACTGGGTCGTGTGGTGTGAGTGGACAGGGTCCTGTGGTGTGAGGTGGACAGGGTCCTGTGGTGTGAGGGTAGACACGGTCCTGTGGTGTGAGATGAGGGTGGACAGGGTCCTGTGAGGGTGGACAGGGTCCTGTGGTGTGAGGGTAGACACGGTCCTGTGGTGTGAGATGAGGGTGGACAGGGTCCTGTGAGGGTGGACAGGGTCCTGTGGTGTGAGGGGAGGGTGGACAGGGTCCTGTGGTGTGAGGGGAGGGTGGACAGGGTCCTGTGGTGTGAGGGGAGGGTGGACAGGGTCCTGTGGTGTGAGGGGAGGGTGGACAGGGTCCTGTGGTGTGAGGGGAGGGTGGACAGGGTCCTGTGGTGTGAGGGGAGGGTGGACAGGGTCCTGTGGTGTGAGGGGAGGGTGGACAGGGTCCTGTGGTGTGAGGGGAGGGTGGACAGGGTCCTGTGGTGTGAGGGGAGGGTGGACAGGGTCCTGTGGTGTGAGGGGAGGGTGGACAGGGTCCTGTGGTGTGAGGGGAGGGTGGACAGGGTCCTGTGGTGTGAGGGGAGGGTGGACAGGGTCCTGTGGTGTGAGGGGAGGGTGGACAGGGTCCTGTGGTGTGAGGGGAGGGTGGACAGGGTCCTGTGGTGTGAGGGGAGGGTGGACAGGGTCCTGTGGTGTGAGGGGAGGGTGGACAGGGTCCTGTGGTGTGAGGGGAGGGTGGACAGGGTCCTGTGGTGTGAGGGGAGGGTGGACAGGGTCCTGTGGTGTGAGGTGGACAGGGTCCTGTGGGGTGAGGTGAGGGTGGACAGGGTCCTGTGGTGTGAGGTGAGGGTGGACAGGGTCCTGTAGTGTGAGGTGAGGGTGGACAGTGTGGACAGGGTTCTGTGAGGGTGGACAGGGTTCTGTGAGGGTGGACAGGGTTCTGTGAGGGTGGACAGGGTTCTGTGAGGGTGGACAGGGTTCTGTGAGGGTGGACAGGGTTCTGTGAGGGTGGACAGGGTTCTGTGAGGGTGGACAGGGTTCTGTGAGGGTGGACAGGGTTCTGTGAGGGTGGACAGGGTTCTGTGAGGGTGGACAGGGTCCTGTGGTGTGACGTGAGGGTGGACAGGGTCCTGTCTTGGCAGTTGTCCCTTTATTTTTTACCACATCAAGCACTGCTTTTAGGAACATCTTTTCCTAAGGCACTCAGACATGCTGCTTCCTCTCTGGCATAAAAAGCGTTTAGACAGTTTGTGACTTAGCCCTCGCTGGGTAGTACACGTCCGTCTTTCTGAGGGGAAAAGGTGGTGAAGTGCCACAACCATCCATATGACAGCCCTTCATGTCCCCTTTATCTCATCTCTTGACCTGCTTTAGATAAGGCTGACATTTTGTCTTGTCCTTCTAAAGAGTCCCAACAACATATTTAGAAATCATTTTCTTTGCTTCATTGGTGTTTGTGAGTTAGGACTTAATAATAATGAGGAAAGCTGGGTGTGGTGATACATGCGTTTAACCCCAGCACCTGGTTAGGTAGATCTCCAGGAGATCAAGGCCAGCCTGGTCTACATAGTGAGTTCTAGGCCAACTGGGACTACAGGACGACTATCTACAAATGCAAGAAAATAATAGTAAAAAAAAAAATGGTAATGGCATTAGGACGTTGTGCTTTGGTCAGTAAGGTTGGAGGCGCTATGGGAACACAAGAACTCGGACTCAGCTAAGTATTACCGAGCTCTGCGTAGCCCATCATGGCTTTGCTGTGAGCTGAGCTCTTCACCTGCCTTGTGGCTCTAAGAAGGAAAAATGGCATTGTTTTGCTTTTGAAGTTTCATACAGTGGGGTTTTCATAACATATTGAGCTCAGAGAGTTCTCAAGTCTTCCCGAGGTGTGGAAGGCCATCATGACAAGTGTCCACAGCATACAGAGCCTGTTAAGAGCTTTGTGCCTTCTTCTGAGGATGATGATTGCATCATCGTGGGTCACCCAGACAAGTAGGAACTCTGGCCGTGGAGTCAGACCAAGACTTGATATGGTAGAAAACCTATTTTTGCTTGCTGTTGTATTGAAAAACACTCACTCGGTTTATTAAATAATTTGCTGTTGCTGTGACAGAATACCCTGACAGAAAGCAGCTTAGAGAAGGGGTCATTTTGGCTCATAGTTCCAGCGTTACAGTCCATCATGTTGGGGAAGGCACGGAGGCAGGGTGTGCTGCGGACCTGGCAGTCGGGTGGTAGAGAGATCACACTGCGTCCACAGTGTGAGCGGAGAGAGAGGGAGAACAGGAGGAAGAGCCAAACTTATCAAACTCAGCATCCACTCCAGTGACATACTCCCTCCAGCCAGGCTCCATCTCCTCTAGGTTCCAGAACCTTCCCAGACAGCACTGTGAACTGTGGACCAAGGGCGCAGACACCGGAGCAGAAATGGATTCAGAGCACAACACCCACGCAATTAGGTCTCCATGTGCTTGGCTCTTGGAGCCTAAGAACCTCCTGGTGACACTCCCACAGCTGTTGGAATCCGACCTTAGATTTTATTTTTGGGTCCATGTGATGGTTTTGAAAATATTCTGATAAACATCTTCAAAGACCCCTCGATCAATACGCCAATGACTTTGAAATGACAGAGTGCCGTGATATTCCTCTGTAATTTAAACATGATTAGCTGATGAAGGTTAGGATCAATACACTACGGGAAGATAAATTAATTGATACCATCCTTTCAGGATGATGAGAAACTTATCGGAGGTGGGCCATGACAGATGAAGCTGGTGCCCCATCTCTGGGAGCCATTTTTTATATACTGCATTTCCACTTAATCATATTTAATACAATCATTCATTTACACAGAAACCATAAGCTGCAGACGTACCAGTTCCTGCTTAAAATTGTGTTCATTTGGAAATTATCTGTGAACGCTGCGTGGCCTCCATCTGTTTTTACCATTGGTCCTAAATAGGATGTATGCTCCTTCCAATGGGTGTCCATTGAAGTCAGCAGCAGTGTGGGCAGAGACAGGACTGGGTAGCCCCCAGCTTAATCACAGTTCCTCCCCGAGGATACACATCTGTTCAAATACAAATTGTAGTTACTGTCCTGTAGTGATACCTATCCATGTAGGAAGGATTTTCTAAACTGTTGACTTCCTTTGCAATTAAATTCAATATGCTTTATCAGCGAGCCTATTTGCTAAGAGAAGCTATGGCTGGTTGAATTCAGATTTGTATTGATCAAGATAAACTTCCAGTGTGTGTGGTAATATGTTAAAATAAAATTAAAAAGATCTTTGATATAATCACTTGTGCTTGAATGTAATTCTGCACAGCCTGCAGAGTTAGAAATTATTCTTTAGGCATGGAAAAGAAGAGAAAGAAAATACTTTGAAAGAGTGTGTTGAATTTTCCTGTCTTACTTGGGATTAATTTTGCTCCAAGTAACTGGCCAGCATCGTTTTATTAGGATAGCCTGCAGGGGGCAGTGGGCGTGTTCCTCTTACTGTGCATTTGAGTCCCCTGCCGTGGTCCCTGCAGACCTGCTGAGATTCTCCAGGGTCTGCATCATGGTCTTGGTGCCATTCCCAGTGCCACCTAGTGGTCCCAGATGGCAGCTGGTGCCCAGCTACACCTGCAGATTTCAGGGAGGTGCAGCAAAGACAAGAAGCAGGTGACAGGCAGCTCTTGCTGAGGATGGTCCTGAAGCTTCATGACGTTTCCGCTCTTGTCCCATCGGCCAGAGATTGGTTGTGGACCCCATTCAGCTGACGAATGTGATTCAGAAGTCCTGGGAGTGCCAGGTTTACCCTGGTTGTCAGGTGCCTAGCCGAAACTCACTGTGGAAGCCGGAGTGGCTGAGGCCAGAGGTCGCTAGGGGCCTCCACTGGGCACCTCATACCCTCACCTACCTCATACCCATGTCTCTTGTCTCTGTCTGCCAGTTGCCCAGAAGATTGTTGCCACAAGGAAGAAGCAGCAGCTGTCCATAGGCCCCTGCAAATCCTTACCCAGCTCCCCGAGCCACTCCTCCGTGTGTTCTGCACAGGTGTCAGCTGTGCACATCAGCCAGGTACGCAAGGCACCATGGGAAACAGGACCTTGAGTGAGTACCGAGGAGGGCCTGCAACGGGATGTTCATAGCTCATGCCAAGGCTGGAGTAACCCTTTTTATTTTCATTTTTTTCAACTTTATAAATAACAGCATGTTTGAAATCGACTTCCCGTTTCCTTCAGAAACTGTTGTGGCCGAGTGGTTTTGATGGGGCTCATTCTTTTAACATTCTCTGTCTTCATGCTGCCTGGGTGATGAGGCGTGCTGGCATGGGGTGGTGCCAGGTGCATGCTGCTGTCTCCTTCTTTATTAAAATCACTGCCTGCTCTTGGTCTGCTTGTAGGAGGAACAGTTGTGAGCAAATCCACTACATACTTAGACCTGGTAGCATTATTTAATTGTAACTGTCCTCTCCTTTAATCCCTGTGGAAGTGGCTAGCTTTCCTTAATAACATTTTGTTAAATTATTTACTCGGAAACAAACGGAGTATTTGTCACAAGGACCCACCCAGGAGCTCATTAGGGAAGCTGGTGACTTCATCTTGCTGGCCCTTGTTTTATGATCAGCACTCTTTGGGCGAGTGTTCCGTTGATGGCTTTTACAGCAGGCACAGGTTTTCCCCCAAGGTGCTCAGCTTGCCTGGAAAACCAGTGAGTTACAGAGTCTACCAATGGGGCCTGGGACGGTCCAGCCACACACTTGAATGTCTTCATGGTTGGTGTCTTCAGTTTTTCAGTAATCTGAAAACAGTTCAGGACTCCAATTTGTAAGGTATCCTCTCAAAATGGCCACTTGTATTTCTGAGCGACCGTTTTCATTTGCCCTGGCGAAGAGACTGTAGGAGCCTCTTGGCTTTTTAGAGGTGGAATAATTGTGTCATTACTTAGAAATTTTCAAGCTTGCTGGGTGCGGTGGTTCACACCTGTAGTGACTCAGAAGTATTTCTATGAGTTCAAGGCTAGCTTGGGCTGCGCTGTGAGTTTTAGGTCAGCCTAGGCTACAAAATAAGACCCTGTCTTAAGAAACAAAAAAGAAGAAATGTTCAAGTTTATTTATGGACGAGTCTTAGGTCACTTCACAGACAAAGCAACTTTTAACAGCACCTTGTGCTGTTACATCCGCCTAGGTAAGGGATGATGTTACCTTGTCTCACAGGCACCTCCTCTGTGTGACTTCCCTTATTCCTGGCTGTGACCTTGTTTCTGTGCTTCATTGTTAACAGATCCCTGGTTTCTAATCTTTGCAGACGAGTAACGGAGGTGGAAGTTTAAGTGATTATTCCTCCTCTGTCCCTTCGACCCCAAGCACCAGCCAGAAGGAACTTCGGATCGATGTCCCTCCCACTGCTAACACCCCAACACCCGTCCGGAAGCAGTCGAAGCGCAGGTCCAACCTGTTCACGGTGAGTGTCGGCTCTGGGGAGGCCTCACCTTCTCACCCTTCATCTCAGACACAGTGATGTGACTGTCCCTAGTCCAGCAGTGTTGCTAGAAGCCAGACTAAATGAGTGAGAATCACACTGACTCATGAAGTCTTAAGAAAATTGAGAGAAGGAAAGATTTGGGTCCTAGACAGAATGAGACTTACTCAGTAGGGACTGAATGTGAATCCTAAGGGGTTTGTACACTGGCTTTAATACCCCGTGACTTTCATGGTCCCCAACTAAAGACATTAGACACGGAGAGGCGGTGGATTGCTGTGGAGATTCCTGTTTGTGCATATGACCCTTTACAAGAGAAGCGTGAGCCTCACATCGTTTGTGTGTTGGGGAGGCGGCTCTCAAGACTGACCCCAAAGGGTTGTGCTGCCCGGACTGCCTTGCCTTCAGGACTCGCCCTCCTGCCTCTCTCCAGGAATCCCTGGGGCTCCCTGCCACAGACCACAAACTTCATGAAGGCTTGCTCGAGTCCTCCAGGGAATGTGATGCCGGAGCGAGGCATCTGGGCATTGATTTGGACCTGTAGCTTTTAGAAGATCCTTGGGCTGATGGGATACAGCGAATTCCTGAGCTGGAAGAGGCTAGACGCTTCTTCCTGTCTCTTCCTTTATGCCCGGCAGACATCATCAGCCAGCTGCAGAAGGGTTTGCAGTTGAGCTCAGAATGTCGGCAGAGCTCCTACCGTGTGGCACAGGGAGGTTTTCCTGCGCCGAGCTCTGTGCTGTGTGCGCTTTCCATTTGTCCATTTTTGTTTTATGTGCATGAATGCTTTGCCTGTGTGTGTAAGTGCACCCATGTCTTGCAGTGTCCATGCAGGCCAGGAGAGGGCATCAGATCAACTGGAACTGGAGTTATAGATGGTTTTTAGCCACCATGTGGGTGCAGTGAACTGAACCCGGGTCCTCTGCAAGAGCAGCCAGGACTTGTACTTGCTGAGCTGTCCCTCCAGCCCCAGTTCATGCTTTTGAACAGTGCTTTACAACCAGGTTTGAGGCTGATGCTAGGGTGGTGGGGGTGGGTAAGTGGACCCTGCAGGCTCCTAGTCATTGGATGTAGCCTGGGGTGGAACTGAACATCTGTGATTTAGACTGACACCATCACAGAGCCCAGCATTCTAGGTGCCTTGTTTAAAACACGTGGTGCCTGTTTTGGTTGAATGCTGATGTTGACTCTGGCACAAAGAATTGCACTATTTCCATCTTGCCCTAAAGGAGGTCTCCCTGGAGTTGCTAGAAGTTCACTGTCTGCTGATCCCCTCACTGGAAGATGGCCACATGATGATGTAGGTACCTGCCAGGTCTGGTGGATGCCCCAGCCCTTTCCCACCTTGTGTGTGGCTGTCTTCATTTAGGTCTGTTGATGATGTCAGGTCCCCTCTGAGGCACCCTGTCCTCTTCTTTACTGACTGGCCTGAACCATCAGCTCTAACGTGCACTCCCGGCAGCTGTGTGACCCTAAGCAGATGACTGAACCTCTCTGAGCTGGGAACAGCAGATCTTCTGCTGTGGGACTGTCAGGAGGCCTCCCCAGATCTTTGTGGTGCTGCTTGTTATTTTTCCCACCACTCTGTCAGGAACATGGTTGGTTACTGATGGTGTTCAGCAGAAGTAGTCGTAGGACTACTGGGTAGGTCCAGAGGGTAGGGTTCAGGCTTCTGCATGGTACAGGTAAATGCAAGGCTCATTTGAATCGTGCATGGATATAATGGTGTACTGCTGAGCTTCTTAGGGACTTAGGGTATCAGAAGTCACACACCAGTTGCTTTCTGGCTTGATGCCCGGGGCAGGGCCTGTGGGTTGAGAAGGTGCTGCCTCCCAGAACAGACTCCTCACGCATTCGCGACATGTGGCACATGACACACTTGTTCTAAGAAATCAGTTACCAATGCTGCAGCTGGCTTTGGAGGCATCAGGCTGCAAGTAGGCGCTCATTGACGAGTGTCAGATGGGAAGCTTCCACACTGCCACCTCACCTCCCATTTGGAGTGGCTGAGGAGAGGGTGAGGACCCAGTCTACCACTCCTGCCAAAGCCATGTTCCCCTCATGCTAACTTGGGTTTCTACTGTTGAAAGAAATTTATTACTTTATTTTATGTGTATGAGTGTATTGCCTACATGTATGTAAGCGCACCTGTGTCATGTAGTGCCCATGGAGATCAGAAATGGGCATCAGATCCCCTGGAACTGGAGTTACAGATGGCTGTTAGCCACCATGTGGGTGCTGGGAACTGAACTTGGGTCCTCTGCAAGGGCAGACAGTGCTGTTTCTCCAGCCCCTGAAAGGAATTTTTAAAACCAACCAACCAAAAGATCACACAACCAGGAAGTATGTCTTTAAATGGAGTATTTGTAAGGAGACCTGCATCTAAAAGTGCCTGGATCCCATGTCCTAAGTGACTTGACAACTCAGTTTTCCTACAGTGGATGCTTTATTTTAAGGCAGGAAGAAGGAAAACCTTGGCTTGGCTGGTTTACTGGTGTCACCCCCGCTCCGCAGAGCCCTGACTTGGCAGTGTCTGGGAAGGATGCTTCCTGCCACATTGAAAGGAAGCCCGTCTGGTGTGGAGATAGAAGGACCCGTGCACACTGTAGAGAGTGGAGAAGTGAGGCAGTGGCCTGTTTCTGGCCAACTGCAGCCACACCCACACACAGGCACGTTCACACACACGTGTACACAGGTGTCCAGGAAGAGGCCAGGAAGCTCTGATGCCATGTAGGGAGGAAGCTGGTAGAGCTCACTGTCGGGTGCTGTGTGTGTTTCACGGCCTCAGCTGTGTTGTCTGTGTTCGCTCTCCCCTTTAATGCTGGAAGACAGTTTCCAAGCAAACCTTTCAGAAGTCGAACCCATCTGCCTTAGTAGTCTGGAACAGAAATTTGGGGTTCTGAAAGAATCTAGTACCATGGTAGGTTGCATCGTGGCATTTAAAGATATACCAGCTGAAATGCCAAATGGGGCCCCGGCACGCTGGCCCTTCCCTAGTTCGGTGGACACAATGGCATCGTTAAGTTGAAGGTTCTGGAAACATCGACTCCACTAGATGTCAGTGTCATCCAGGGAATGAGAAGAAGGCAAATTAATTTTGAAATCTGAGCAATTAGGAAACCAACTCTTTGCAGTGACCAGCTTGCTCCTATCCTTAAATGTGTAAAATTGTGTAGACGCTTCCTCCCTGGTGATGTCAGGCTTACATTGTCAAAATGTGTATGTCTTGGGACTGGAGAAATGACTCAGTCATTAAGAACACTGGCTGCTCTTGCAGAGGACTCAGGCTTGGTTCCCAGCATACACGTGGAGGCTAAGAACTGTCCATAACTCCAGTTCTCTTCTGACTTCCACACTTAACATGCATGCAGGCAAAACACTCAGACATACAAAATACAAATAAATAAAATTTTTAAATGTATGTGTGTTTAGAAGTGTCTACAGCTCTGCCCTATGTGACCCATGTTAGTAACTGTAACCATTCTGAGATGGTGCTGTACAGGCTGCAGGCACTGTCCCCTTGCCTATCAGCACATTCTAAAGAAGGCTGGAAGTGATGGGTTCCCACATGGCTGTTACACCATCCTCATATCTGTGAAGCACTACGTAAAGTACCAGACTGTGGAGCACTGTCAGCTCTCTGATGTTTGCATGTATACACGTTTTAAGCAAACAAATCACATGCATTTTGTATGAAATGGCTGGAAAAAAAAAATCACTCCAGCTGTAGCAAAATATGCATTACCTTTGTGATGGGAATTATGTCCTACCAACATGAAGGTAAATTACGTCGTATTTACCAACAGGAAGGAAAAGTGTATAGTATTTTGCTAATTTCTGTGTAAGCTGCTGCTTGAAAAAATGAACATTAAAAGATTACCCATTGACTGCCTGATTTTGTTATACAGATTTAGAGCAGTTAGTGTAATAGCCTCAATTTACATGTGGCTGACATGTTTTATTGGAAAATATTTTCAAATATACCAGAATAAAAAAGTGCATATTCTATGTGATGTTCATAAGGTTCAGCGGTTTGCTGCCACAGCAGCTGCATCTAGAGGCAGCTGAGTTGGAAGTGGAAGTCCGAGTCCTGGTGTCCCGCTCGCCCCTCCGCCTCTGTTCTGGGGCATCACAGTCACCTGTGTGAGGATTGCGTTGCGTGCACTCAGTTGTTAAGCTCAGCGTCTCCTTGCTTCTGTGTGGCATTGCAGGCTTTTTACGAATTGTGTCTTCATTTGGTATTTTCAAAGCTTGTGTAATGCTGACAGTGTTGCATAGAGCCAAGCAGGACAATACCAAGAGACCCTGCGGAAAGCCTTGAACGACTCACAGAAGCTCATGGATAGAAGACGGTGAAATTCATAATGTGAAAGAATTGTCTGGATGATGATTAGTGTCTTGTGGAGAACACGACCCCCAGGCCTGCCATGATGTGCTCCAGCCTCCTGCCTTCCTGATTGGAAGGGGAAGAGCAGGCCCTGTTGGACAGCCAAGACTCCCAGTCCCCAGGCTCTGCCCACCATTCATGGGGCTTGATGGGCTGTCTGTCTGTGACTCTGTTCATCATGTGAGGAGTTAAACATTTGTGGGGCTCAGCAGTTACTCTGATGGTTGGAAGTCTCTGGACCTGCAGTGGGTGTGATTAAACCTGGTTCTGTCACTAGCAATGTGTGGCAAGCTGGGTGCAGCATACGGTCACTCCTGACTCACACTGAGGGCTGCTGACATCTAAGGAATGCATGGGGCTCTGTCTACAGAGAGGGGAAGGGTCTGTAGCCACTGTTTCCTTTCCATTGTGGACAGGAAACAAGGGGTTCAAGGACTCCAGGGTCTCCTGTACAGCAGATTTGTTTCCGTTTGATTGTCGGATTCCAGTTTCATTGAGTCCGGTGTAGACACAGGATCAGAGGGTTGAGGTATGGCAGCTGTCTTTGGCTCTTTCCTTGAAATTTTAGTTTTGTGTCCCTTTCCACCAGAATGCTATCATTGATGGAATTGTGGGGGGCAGTGAAGTTGACCCTGAGTTTTTATCACATTCATCTCATTCATCTCTGAGCATGTGTGGTCTTGTGACATCTGACTTTTTGTACATATTTGGAGCTGTCTGCAGCAGCTCTGTCTGTTTTGCCCTGCTTCCCTGAGTCTGGAATTCTGATCTAAGAACAGTGACTGAGGACAGATGCGCTGCCTGGAGGAAAATGTTCAGTTTTTCCCCCAAATGTTTATTTTGTTAATTATTCTGGTTAATAGAGAATAATGAAGCTGGATTTCCAAATTTAGATTTAGAACTCCGAAGTCCTCTTAAATGTTCTCTGTGGGCTTACATTGTTTGAAGAATTATCAACCGTGAACTTTAAAAATTATTTCCCAACTGGAAACCTCTCATGCTTGCCTTCCCACCAACTGACATGTGGGGGAAACAGGGCTGTACATTAGTAATTTAGGAGTAAAGCCTCAATACCATAGCTAAAATTCCCAGTTCGGGGTTGAGGAATGCCCCTTCCTGTTTTCTGCTTGTGACTTTTCTGTGGACTTATTTCAGGTCACATGTTGCCCCAAAGATGAAAGGCACAGCACTGGGCACAGAGTAGGCATTTGATAAACGTGGGCTCCTGTAATCTAAGAAGTGATTTTTCCTGGGTACTGTTGCCTTTGAAGGACTGGAGGCCAGTTAATTTATAGGTGCCTCTCTGTGTCTCCTTCTGAATTTTTGGCAGTAACCTGTCCTGGAGTCCTAGGTCCATCCTGTCAGCCCTTACTGTGATGACATTTTAGGGTATGGCCCCTTTCAATACTGTTTTAGAAACACCCGAGGCCCTGTCCTATGTCCTCTTGAAGCTGGTTTCATTAGCCGCTCCCAGCAGCACCGGACAGCACCAAGTCCCTCCATTTCATATATCATCTCAGATTTGAAAAGCACAGGAAAATGTTTCTCCATTTTCAATATTGCGTGAGTAATGTTCCCATTGAGAAGTAATGGAGTGAAGTTGTCAGTTGTCAGCACTGTTATTAAGGAGGACGAGTCTCAGATCTTTCTCTCATAATAAAATAAATCTGTCAGAAAATCATCGCGCTTAGGCTGGCTCATGCCATCAGGAGACGGGATGTGGACGCGGGCGCTCCTGTAGCTTTCCCGGAGTCAAGGTGCACCTGGGGTCACAGCTTCCCTGGGTCCCAGGCTGCCACCCTCCCCTCCCCTGCCTGCCACTGCATAGTTCAGAACATCAACAACCACCCGGGATAATTGGCTGAGGAGCTCGGCTCACAAACAGCTTCTCCCTGTTCCCCGAATGTTGACATTTTGTCAAAAGGAGAGTTTCAGCTTTCTGCCTTTGTTATTTTTTTGTGGCCCAATAGACTAGTTTAACTTTGAAATCCCTGTTTTCTAACCACCCAGAAGTCATAAGAGGCGACATTGCCTACACCTTCATGCTACTGATCTAGGGTATACTTTAATTCGGACCCGCTGAGTCGGTAATGGGCTTTTTTAAATTATCCAGACGTTAATTTAATTCCTTCATTTCTGTGGCCAGGCTTCTGAATAACCAGCCAGGCCCCTCTCCCCTCGGCTGTGCTAACTCAAGCTCTGGAATGTGTTTTCCTGTTGGGCGTTGTTCTCCTCCCTGGTCCATTGGTTTCTAGTGATTGAATTTTGAACTCTTTAAAAAAGAATTAAAAGATAATTTTGCAGTAGAAAAGTTGAGGGAAAGTTTAGAAAAATTCTCTTTGGACTGATAAGTCAGTGCAGATGAACTCCTAGTCGGGGGACGGGGGTGGTGCTTCTCTCTCTCTCTCTCTCTCTCTCTCTCGTGTGTGTGTGTGTGTGTGTGTGTGTGTGTGTGTCCACACAAGTACCAGGCGTGCCTTCTGGATCCTGTTGGTGGGAGCTGTGCACAGAAGGGAAAAGCCTAGTCTGCAGCCACAGGCCTCACTCAGATGCTAACTTTGCTTTTGCTTTGCAGTCTCGGAAAGGGAGCGACCCAGACAAAGAGAAAAAAAGCCTGGAGAGCCGCGCGGACAGCATTGGGAGCGGGCGAGCCATCCCAATTAAACAGGTACTCGGCCCCTTCCCCGCCTTGCCAGAGACACACCTCGGGTAGGCCTGAGATACGCTGGCTCAGGAGCCGCGTTTGTTTGATGTGCTCTGTTGATGAATGTGGAAGCCACTCACTTGACATCAATTAGAAGGGGTTCCTGTGAGTATTAAATAGGATCATTAGAATAAGAAGAGTGAGATACAGCAACAGCTCTAATGAAGTGCGGTCTGCCCGCCTGCATATGGAGTGTGTTTCCAGGCTGCCCTGTCTTCAAAGGCTGCCTTTGTGCCGGGCTTTGATTGGGCCGCTGGCCGCCAGGCGACAGGGGTAAATCAGATCACCGTACAAGAGCCCCTTGTGATCACAGAAATAGCCCGACGTGGCCCTAATTTGCTCTTGCGGACGGACATCTGAACACTGTTTCAGGCTGGTCTGTAACAACGAGGCAATTAGTTGTGATAATCATAGTCGGCGTGTCAGCTGTGCGCTCTTGTTTGTAATTTGCTAATGAAGGGATTGTAACTTTGATTAGGTTCAGTTTCATTTAGACCTTATTATATACAGGAACATTTACAGCTGTAATGTGGGGCCTTAATTAAACTTCCTCATTACACAACAGGACTTGAATTTAAGCATTTGTTTTGGCCTATGTTGCTAGCCTGAAATGGGTTTTCATTAGCCCGGAAACCGGGTGCTAAATGACTTCACGTCCCAAGCAAGAAACACTGGAACTCATGTGTGACGTCTTTTGATGCTTCATTTCCGAAAGAGTAAGAATAAAGAGTTCAGCCCCACACCGTGACTTGGGAAATGTCATCTTTTTGGTTGATAAAGAAAACCAATTGATTTAGAGTATTTTCTCTCCCGGTGGGGGCTGGGTGAGACAGAAAACCTGTGGGTAGGAAATAGCTCTGCCCTCTGTGGATGATGCTAGTGGCTCGTCCTGAGCTCTGGTTGATCTGGCACATTCTCTCTCTCTTCTGTGGCCACCACCTGACTTCACGGGGGCCTATGCACATGGGCACTGGCTGCCCTGAGCAGGCATTCTTCATGCGGACACAGCTGGATCACATGACCCCTAGATGTTGGTGGTTCAACTCTCACCCATGTGTAGCTGATAGAGGTGCAGTTCTACAAGGGGCTGGGTCCTTGCAGCTCGAGGACTTGGGAGTTAAGAGAGCCAAGGGATTCTGGGAAAGCAGGACTGTTGTCATCCCCTCCCTCCAGCTGCAGACCCCAGTGGCCTGTGTGCCATATATGCCCACTGCAGGGCTGTCTAAGCCTTTGACACAGGGGAGGGAGGCCTAGACACGGCAGCTGAGGCTGCTCTGCTTCTGTGCAGAGCGGCCTTTCACGTACCATGTGGGGATTAACCCTCGGCACCTTGGAGAGAATCCTCTCCTTTCCTGTGGTGACAAGCAGCATTTTTTCACTATAAACCAGTTCTTTACCTCTGAGGGCTGTGTACATAGTTGCTCTGATTTGCTTATTTATTTAACTCTCTACATAAGGCCGTTTTAATGTATGATTTGTGTGTGTTCACTGTGTCGCTCCATGTGGTGTTACAGAAACCATGTAGTAGTTTGTCTCCCTCATCTGAAGAACTAGGACATTGAAGATGATAACTTAACGTGCATCATCAGCTCAATGTCTGTCCACTGTTGATGTGGGTGGGAGGCTCAGTGGCCCAGCGGGAACATTTGGTGAGCCAGCTAGGCTCTGGTGTAATTGAAGCCTCACTAATTTGTGCTTTGATCATCTGTGGATGGGGCTACTTTCCAAGCTGGACTTCTGTATATGCAGATTGAAGGTGACCATCAAGCATAAAATGGGGGTTCTGTTGTCCTTAGAAGCCTTTGGCTCTGGAATGTTCAGACTTACCTTTTTGAAGTCCTAAAGATTTCCCCATGACTTCCAGGCACGGGGAGTACCTGATGCCCCCAGGAGCCCTCAGTGTGCAGCCTGGACCAGCTCCTTGCAGGGTCTGTCCCTGGCCTGCCATGGCCTCACACTGCTCATCTGCAAAGCAGGGACCTGGAGAATATCTGGCTTTAAACACTCAGACATAGAGATTCTGCAGGGAATGTTTCCGTTCCAGCCAGACTGGGGTTTTCTGTGGGTGAGGTGTCAGGACCCATCGAAGCAGCCAGACTGGGGTTTTCTGTGGGTGAGGTGTCAGGACCCATCGAAGCTGTCCTGCTCATCCTGCAGATTGATATGGGGTCTTTGGTGGTTTGGGTTTATTGAGTGACTTGCGGGCACACACCACATCATGCAGTGTGTTTTCAAGGAGCATAGTTCACTCAAGAGCATCTAAATTCTTCACTGTCCCCCTGCCCATGGCTTCTGTGATGCTCAAGGGGATGGAGCCAGAAGGGGCATTACCTACCTGGCATATTGTTAGAAAGCCCACAGGTAGATTTCTTGAGCAAATGAACAGTTAAATGAGAACTTGCTAAGTGCTCCTTATGCCGTATTCTATTTAACCCCCAGCGCTGCAGAATGGGGGCCATCGTTTTTTCTTGATCTTAAAGTTCCCAGACAGGGTGAGCATTCTGGACCAGGCAGCTGGGAAGCCAGGTCCCAGGCCTGTACTCTGTCTACCACTGTGTGACGGAATGCCTACCTACCCAGAGCCTCCACAGCAAAGCTACAGGCTTTAAAGATTTGTTAAAATGTATTTATGTGTGCCTGTGAGTTTTATGTGAAACACACACATATAAGTACCTGTGGGGGCCAGAAAATGGCATCAGATCCCCCTGTAACTAACATTACAGGTGGTTTTGAGCTGCCTCACGTGGGTATTGGCAACTGAACCCATGTCCTTTGTAAGAAGAGTAAGTGCTCTTAACTGCTGAGCCACCCCTCCTGCCCCAACACACAGGGTTTTTTAAAAATTGTGTGTGTTTTGCCTGTGTGTATGTAAGTGCACTTGTGTCATACAGTGCCTGTGGATTCCACAAGAGGGTTTCAAATCTCCTGGAACTGTAGTTACAGACAGTTGTGAGCTGCCATGCTGGTGCCGAGAACCAAACTCAGGTCCTCTGCAAGAGCAGCCAGTGCTCTTAACAGATGAGCCATCTTTTCAGCCCAAGTTACAGTGTTTAAACTAACATGGGGCCCTCAAGACAAAAGTATCTTGCACTGTGAAGAAGAAGCATCTAGAGCTGTGTCTGGAGCAGTGTCTCTTCAGGGAGGCTTGTAGGACAGGCCCCTCCCTCAGGCAGGAGGCCCCCTTCATTTGTGTTTCCTGTGCTGCCCCTGCCCCTCGCACGGGCAACAGAGTCCTTGGTCACCTCCCAGCCCTGGTTGAGATTTGTCAGAGCCCTACCCACCAGCTGATGGATCCTTGGCCTAGTGGCAGAGGAGAGGTATTGCGAGCCCGTGGCCTTGCACATGTGGCCGTTGTCCTGGATGTCGCCCCTTCCTCCATGGGAATCTTGTGGATGTTTAGGAAGCAGGTGGGGCAGGCGCCACACCCCACAGCAGCACTCTGGATGCTGTGCAGGCACACATGTGCCCGGTGCCCTTTCATCCTGTTTAACTTGTATTTTGCTTTCTCCTGGGACAGGAGCTGGCCCGAGTCTCCATCACCAGTGACTGTCGATTTCTCTTTTCTTCCAATTGAAGGTTCCTCAGCAAGACTAGGGATTTGTTCATTTCTTCTAGATCTGGACTCAACTCTCCTTTTGTCCTGTCTGGGTCCTGGGAGGAGAGTGACTTAGACAGTTCTGTTTCGTTTCTTGCTAGTAAGAAAAGGACCATTCTATTCTAGAAGAAATGGAAAAGCAAAGCACGAAAAATAAAAGCCAAGTCCCGGCTCAGCGGCCAGTGGGCTTGTCACGTATTAATTTTTCATTGCTGTGGAGAGTTGTACATACATAATCACTTGATTGCAGTGGGAGTTAGGGAGCTCCTATGGTGTCATTTGCATAAATCTTGTTAAGTCAATGGCAGTTAATGAGGTACAAATGAGCCCGGAGAAGGTGACATGCAAATCGTGGGTGGCAGATGGGAGGTCTGTTTGGGGGACAGCAGCTGTGTGCTCTCCTTTCTTTCTTTCTCTTTAGCATTTTTTAATCTCTATATTTGAGTGCAGACACAGCCACAACCCTCGGCCTCTCACCTCCCCCTCCAAGGACTCCCAGCCAGGGCCTGGCCACGTCCTCCTGCCCCTGACACTCATGCTGAGAGCCAGGCAGCAGGAGCTCACCTAGCACGAGTGTATACAAGTATAGGCCTGCGATCATTGTCTCATACCTCGGTCTGAGCTGACTGTGGATTTTGGTTGGTAGGGACAAACTGGAAAGACCTCTGTATGAGTCTTGGGAGGTGGCGTGCTATGTTGTCTTGGAGATTTCAAGCATAAAAATATTATGACTGCTTAACTGGATTCCGTTCAATTGTCTTTCCTTCGTGTGACTGGGATCAGTGTGGCGTGCACCCTGCAGACCGGGTATGCTTGGAGTGGGTGTGCTGTCAAAATCAGGCCTCAGTGAAAACCTGGCATCACCAGTGCAGGGTCTCCAGGCTGGTGCCAGCTTTGCTTGGGAGTTAGGGGTAAGTCTTATGTGCTAGGAGGATTCACAGTGGACTCTTGGAGGTTCCTGGGCAAAATGCAGCTTCCTTCCACCTTAGGCACCTGTTACTTAATCGTGGCTGATATTTTGAGATCGAGACTTCACTGAGGACTCCCAAAGTGGTAATGCGCATGGAGCACAGCGCTGCCCTGGGGATGTACAGAGGCTTCTTCCTCAAGTCCTTCCTGTCCTCGGAGCTTCTCTCTGGCAGCGTCCAGTTTGTGGGACCCTTCACCTTGCAGGAAACTGAAGCCCAGGTGTCCTTGCTTCTGTGACTCTTGCTGAGTACGCTGAAGGAACGAAATGTCCTTTTGGTTCTTTGTTTTTATATGTGATCTTGGTTGGCAACTCTATAGCCCAGGCTGGCCTCAATCTCTTGTTTGTCCTCTTAGCTCAGCCTCCAGGATCATGCCTTGCACAGAGTCTGCATCTGACTGT